GGCATGCACCATCTCTTCAGGCTCTGAATCTAGCTCTGATTGCTGTGTCTTGTGGGAGTGTGAATTCTCTTTGTTTCATTCACGTGTTTTGTGAGGCCAGACAACTCGTAGTGGGACAGTAGTGACATGAACTATTTTTATGTCTGGAAAGAAAAAGAGAGTTTGCCCATCTTGGAGGGCTTGGGTTACTGAGTGAATCATGAGGATTATTGTCAGTGTACTAGTCTTTCAAACACCTGCAGAACGGGCTTGTTAGTAATGTAACAGGAAGTTTCCAGAGAAATCTGCTTGATTCTAACCTTGCTGGCTTCCTTGTGTGCTGTGCCTTCCCTAGGGTCTGTTGGCAAGCTCTTGTTTCTCCCCTATGTCTCTCATTAGTATTCTTAGTAATTGTTCATAGTTGCTTATTTGGAGCTGTTTTTCCAGAATGACAGGGAATTTGTTCTGATCAAGGCTCAGGCTTAAACATGTACTATCTCTCTCTTGGTCTCAGGGTGAGATCTCTCCCTTTATTTGTGAGGAACACCGCCCGCCCGAATCACCCAGCTCCTTGAGGCCCGCAATGTCGCCCTTCCCTTCTAAATGATAGGACTCATTCCACACACATAGATAGACTCCCAGATCTGTACCACAGTGGAGACTTAGGACTCTGCACCTGTGAACCTCTGATGAGCTGTGTGGGAAAAGATCATACCAGTTTTTCTCTGGTTACTGTATCCTTCAGAAGCTGACCACTAACCACCGGCTTTCAATCTGGCCTTCAGATTCTCACTAATTTTAGATGAAATGGTAAAAAAGATTTTTACCATTGTCCTGTTGCCTCTGTGCCAGGCAAGGCTATATTTTTGTCTCTTCTTGATGCATTGTCTCCTTAAATTTTTGGATCATTTTCCTGTGATCTTAGGTCTCTGATAGGTTTCAAAAAATTCATTAATTTGACATTAGTCCTCTTTTCCAGAAGAGTTAGGAGCAACATTCTTTGTAGTCCTCTATACCCTGAGGCAAAAGATAGAACCAGTGCACCTATTTTTAAAGTAAGGTAAGTCAAGTGAATGAAAACTAGGAAGATAGTAATCCCAGCATTTGGGAGGCAGAGGCAGGAGAATCCTTGTGAGTTTGAGACCAATGTAGGCTACAAAGTGAGCTTAAGGCCAGCCTGAAGTGCAGAGCGAGACCCTATTTCTAAAAAATAAAAAAAAGAAAACTAGAAAGATGTACAAATTTAAGGGCAAGGAGGAAAAGGCAGATTGTATGGAAGGATTGCAGATGCTGAGAAAAAGAAGTAGTTAAAACAAAATAGGAATATCATAGAGGCAAAAAAATTCGGTAGTTTAGGAGGATATTGAAACACATTATATAAAAGAACTTTCCTAAGATATATTTGTAAGTCAGTTTCAGAATTTATATGCCATCTGTTGCCTGAAAGCATGGAATCCTAAGTCCTTTTTTTGTAATGGAAGTCCTTTGTCACAGTAAGTCCCCAGACCAGTGATGGCAAACCTGTTAGAGCTCTCAGTGACAACAGCCAGTCTGCTGCAGCACGGTGCCATAGGTTCTCCACAGTGGCCTGGACTGATCCCCGCATTAGTCCTTTCATTCTCCTTTGCTCACAGAAACTTGTGAGAAGCTTTAAGAGCCGATCTCTAAGCCAGAGATTCTTTTAAATTTCTTACTTGAGGCTTATTTGAATTTTGTATTCTAGTCTAAAATAACAATGCTTATTTTAATAGTAAAATGCCTGCTACCTCATCACTTAAAGTTGGTATTTTAAAATGGCACACCCTGTCTGTCCCCTGCATCTGCTTTAACATAAAGCTAACATGTCCCTGCTATGGGACATGTGAAATGGCAGGGGGCTGTTGTTTGCTTCCTTAAACAGATAAGAAAGCAGTCCTTTAGTCAGGGCTGATGGGATCTGCTAGAACCTATACAACTTAGTGTCAAGACTTAGGATCTAAACCCAAATTTTCTAATACCCAGTTTAGAACTCTTTTTGGTATATCATATAAAATCTATATCCAGATTTTATTTTACATTATAACTTAAGCATCATTGTGTAAGACATCACATTAAATTTATATCCATCTTAATTTCTGTTAAAGCATAACTAATGTAAGCATCAACAGATTAAGTTTAGGACATGCTTTACAAAACTCTACTTTAGGGCCTCAGTTCACATTAGTACATTGAAAGAATCCCACGGAGGCTTCCATTAAAGAAATTCATTTTCTTAGCCTGGTGTTTTCATATCTGAGAACCATTTACTTTAATCTTTCATGATACTGTCTTGTAATTGTGATAGAAAGTTGAGAGGTACTGACCTCTGGGGATATTAGTTCACCTTTGGAAAACTAGCTTGTAGATACAGCATTTATGTGGGCAGTTTTACTTATGGGCTGTCTGTCATCAGGTAGTAGAGAAGAGAAAACAAAAATGAGATTGGTCAGCTGTGGCAGAAATTCTTAAAAATGTACATACATTCTCTATGTTCTCTGTATTGTTAGACTCCACCAAATATATAAAGATCCATATTGACCTGAGTCGTCGTTCCTATTTTCCTGTCGGCCCCAAAGCACCCTTGATGTGCCTTCACTGTTCAGCAGAATGTTGGAGCATTTTAACCCATTTCCAAAGAAATCTTCAGTGGTAAAGTGGTACATGGGTTATATGTTGTCCAAATCAGCTTGCGTTAGAAACAAATGTTCTGGTTTTCTGAATTGATAGGCCATGTAAGGATAAAAACAGTAATGGAATGCTAACCCTAGTAGAATTATACTACTATTTGAATTATCAAGAAATAATACATAACATTTGTAGCGGGTCCTTTTTCATGTACTTTACCTATATTAACTCATACCTTTTGAGGTAGATAACGTGCTCATTTCTTTCTTACAATCAGGAAAGGTAAAACACTTAGACCAAGAAGCTGCCACTGAAGATACTATCAACTGCTGTGCTGTACATGCACCTGTTGTAAATTATTAATTGTAAATAACTTTTTCATATTTTAAAAACTTAGTCTTTTTGTGTTCTACTACTAGCATTCATTGAACAGTAAGTACCTGCCTTGTATTAGTACCTGTGCTAGGAACTGAGGTATGAAAAGTTTGATAGGGCTTTTGGCCATGTAGAACTAAAAAAAAAATTTACTAGTTTATACCTGGAAGCCTGCTAAAGATAGTTTTTAAAATTATTTTTCATCAATGTCAGGCTTTTTGTAGTAATTTTTAATCATACTAAACATAGCACAATATGATGCAAGTTTAATGCAGTACTCAGAAATAAGAAAGGTTCACTACACATTTATAAGGTCTGTTGTAATATTTTAAGAAAAAACATACAGCACAACACAGAATTTAATATCCTATTGTGAAGTGTAGCTCAGTACTGTTTAGCACATTGATATCATACTGCAGCAAATCTCCAGCATGGTTTTTATCTTTGAGAACTCAAACTCTGATCCATTAAACAACTGTTCCATTTTCCCTTCCCCCAAGTCCTTGGAAGACACCATTTTAGGTCTTGTTTGTATTAATTTGCTTACTTTAAATACCTCATATGAGTGGAATTATGCTCTTTGGTCTTTTTGTGGCCGACTTACTTCACCTAGCATAGCGTCCCAGGGTTCATCCCTATGACAGCATGTCAGGATTTCCTTCCTTCCTAAGGCTGATGGTACTCCATTTGTGTATGTATGCATGTCACGTTCCATATTCATCCATTGATTACAGACATTAGAAATGCTGCCACCTCTTGGCTGCTTTGAGCACGGGCACAAATCCAAGATTTTAATACTTTAGATATGGAGTGAAAAGGAGACTTGTTTTATCATATGATAAATTCTATTTATAATTTTCAAGGACCCTTCATTCTCTTTTCTGAAGCAGCAGTATTATTTTACATACCCAAAACAATTCCAAAGCTCACCAGCTTCTTGCTTTTCTTTTCTTTTTTTTTTTCTTTTTTTGTTTGTTTGTTTATGGAATCAAACTCAGGACCTCGTGCTTGCCAGGCAGGTGCTTCTGCCTCTGAACTATATTCCGCCCCCCAGCTTCTTCACATGTTCAGCTCATATATTCTGGTGGTGGCAGTGGTGATGGCAGTGGTTTTTAAGATAGCCAACTTATTTTTTGCATTTCCCTAATGATGAGGTGATACTAGTTTTTTTTAATATGCTCATTGGCCGTTTATATATCTTCATTAGAGAATATCCAAGTCCTCATTTTTTAATCTGATTACTTTGTTGTTGAGTTACAGGAGTTATGTATGTATTCTGGTTATTAACCCCTCTTGAAATATGTGACTCGTAATATTTCATGTCCTTTCATAGGCTACCTTTTCATTGTTCATATTCTACTATTTGTTGTAGTTGGTTATATTTTCATGTCATATCCAAGAAGTCACTGAAATCAGTTTGGGGAAGCTTCTCTGGAAGTTTTATGGTTTTAGTTTTTATAATTAGGTTTTTGATCCACTTGGAGTTAATATTTACATGCAGTTTAAGGTTATGAAACAGTTTCATTTGTGCATGCAGATATCCAGTTTACCAAGCATCATTTATTGAAGACTTCTGTTATTTTTGGGGGGTGGAGGGGGTGTTTTGTCTTGTTTCCTTAAAGTAGGAAGAGAAACAGGCTCTGCAGAGTGAGTTTGGGCCAAGTAGTAGAAAAAGTACAGCCGCGCCACGAGGGCTACCATGCAAAGCTAGTGTAATAAGCAGCCTTTTCTGTTGGAAGTCTTAGATTTTTCTGAGATTTGTAAGATTTTCTATTTTAAAAAGGTACTTTTTAACTTTTAAGTGATCATTTCTTAGCTGATTTTTAATCAACCTTATATGGTATATTAAAATCATATAGAAGGCAATTTCTGTGTATCTTTTCAAATGCCTAACATATTGCTTATTCCTTCAGGCAATTTCCTTAAAAGACCAAAGTACTCAAATCTGAAATAAACAATCTAAAAAATCATTTACATAAATTTTCTTCCTTTTTTGTTTGCAGGGAAGCAGCTCGAGAGTGTCGTAGGAAGAAGAAAGAATATGTGAAATGTTTAGAAAACAGAGTGGCAGTGCTTGAAAACCAAAACAAGACACTGATTGAGGAGCTAAAAGCACTTAAGGACCTTTACTGCCACAAATCAGATTAATTTGGGAGTTAAATTTTCACCTGTTACGGTGGAATCAAAATGGACTGGATTGGCCACAACCAGAAAGACAAAATAAACATTTTATTTTCTAAACATTTCTTTTTTTTCTATGCGCAAAACTGCCTGAAAGCAACTACAGAATTTCATTCGTTTGTGCTTTTGCATTAAACTGTGAATGTTCCAACACCTGCCTCCACTTCTCCCCTCAAGAAATTTTCAGCACCAGGAATCATGAAGAGACCTCTGCTTTTCAACTCCTGCTCTCCTCAAGAAGTAATAATTTGTTTACTTGTAAAATGATGGGGGAAATGAGGAAAATGAATTTTTTTAATGATTTCAAGGTTTGTGCTGAGCTCCTTGATTGCCTTAGGGACAGAATTCCCCTAGCCTCTTGCGCTGAAGTAATTTGTGGGCCGCATGCATGAAGTAAGTAAGGTGCAATGGGAAAGCGTTGATTGCCAAACTGACTCGTTTTCACATTTTCATGGTGAATTATGTAGAACTATTAAAAGACAAAAACCCTCAAATAATTTGAGTATGGTTTTGAAGGAAATAGGAATGAATTTGGGGTACTCTGTTTGCTGTTTTCTTCAGTACTTAAAAACTTGTCCTTGATCCTTAAAAACATCCTGTATTAGCTACAGGGCAGTTGTTGCTTCTTAATTTGGTTCTGTGTGTTCAACATCTTTGAATACATTAGAAGAAGTAACACAACTAAATGAAAAAGCATGGTATCTGAATTTTAAAGTAAATCAAAGTAAATAGAAGTACAGAGCTTATTTTAGTTAGCACTACATCTTAGTAAAAAGATGCTGACTAGTAAACCAATCCCGAGTTACATAACAAGGTTTTTAAATAAACATTTTGTCCTCAACATTAAAGATATTTATATTGTCACTCATTTACTTAAGGTATTTCTAATTACTGTTGCTTTTTGCATCTATATTGTATCACCAACAGGAAAGTCTTCAAGATGTTACAGAAAACAAAATGATATATTTATGTAATAGGAAAATACTGATTTTTAAATCCTTCCCGTATTAACACTTTATCAGAGAATCTCTGAGAGTGAATTTCTAATTGAAAGAAGTTACAAGGATATGGCCCAAAAGGTAGTATAGTTGTACATAAGATGAGTAATTTTTTCAGACATATTTGAATGTGTATGGTACTACAATATTTGGGTTGTCATTCTTGTAAAACATTTTTTTGTTTTCATCTAAAACAGATAGTAGGTTTGAGCTTTCCAAAATACTGTGTCGCCTTTGTCATTTATTAAGCAGCTACCTATTTTAATTCTGACAGTCTGCATTGGTGTGTGTCATACATTGTTCCCAACAGTACTTCATTTATCAGTTATTCATTTTATTTACTAAGCCTGATAAATTAAAAATTATCACTTAAAAGAAAAATAGGACTAAGGTAGAGTTTAAAAATTGGGAACCGACATAATGTTAGATTATAATTTCTCATTTGAGAAACAAATTGCTTTTTAAGAAGTCAGAAACTAATTAGTCATGGGTTACTTAAGAAATTTAAGTTTGTTTCACATGACAAACTACAGATACAAGTTTTAGTTACTAGTTCTGTTTTAACAGTAAGATTTTTAATTAATATCTGTAACTGTTGTCTTTTGTTTGTAACAAGCCATTGTCTTTTTTCAAGGGTGAACAGAGTTTGTGAAGGAGCATCATTCTAAGCATTGGGTGATGCAGTCCTTGTATTTGGACAGTTCACCAGATTCTCAAGAAGGCTTGCAAACGGCTGTAAAGTGTGATGTTTGTCCTGCTGAGCTAATGGGGAAACTGGTAGCATAAAAGTTACTTTGTATACCAGCATAGTATGTCATTTTCTAAATTTGCTTTCACAAATACCAAACAAAATCACAAATCTGTCCACAAACTGCAATTACTTAAAGTTGAATTGAGTATTTTCAATGTCGGAAAACACTATAAAAAATTGCCTGGTGTATAGGAAGTTGTATTCTCTATAAAGCTGTCTGTGTTTCCAAAAGTTGAGGCTTTCTGCTGAATTAGGAAGTTGGTGATCTTCTTGGTCCCTGATAAATCAAGGCAATCACATATCGGGTGGGTGGGTTTACAAGTTGCAGAGAACTGGTCCTTTATACCTTCAGGATGATTGCACTGTTTTGAAGTCAGTTACTTAATAGTGAGGTGAGAAATGTATTAATGTTGCTAAATCTGTTTTAGACCCTTGGAAAGACTTGAAGATTTTAGTTTATACAGCTAGAAATGAGGCATCTTTTATGCAGTTTTTTTAATATGAGAATTATAAAATAGGGGTTTGTTTTTAAGCTTGTAACTTTGAGAATCTTTATTAAGAAAATGACGTAATTTTTAAAAATCCTGTAGCCAAGAACATATATGGCCACATTATCAATAATGTTTTTCTCTTCATACTGGCCAAAAGGGAATGAAGATGTCATCATAGGAGTGTGTATATATGCTACTGATTTGCCTAGAAAATAGCAAGTTTGGAATTGCTCACTTTGCAAATATAGGGCCTTGTGGCACTTTTATCTATAGGACAGATTAACTCTAATAAAAATGAAGTGGGGAGGGGTTTATTTTTGATATATTACTATTATGAGTTTTCAAGCTTTGATAGTGTTAAACTGAAAAGTGGTTTAGAAAGGGCTAGAATCCAGTATGTTCACATAGTTAAAAAATAAAAGATGCAATTTTAAGTTCATTCTTTTTCAAACCCAAGTACCATATTGACAACCATAATATTGTCATAGGTGCTCTGTTCATTTAGATATTTGGGAGGGGGCGGGGGAAATGGCATTTGTATAATATATGTGTACATATATATATACATACGTATATAATCTAAAGCTCTGAGAGCTCTTAAGTCAGGAATGCTGAGTATTATAGTATATTGAGGTCAGATGAAATTTTACATTTTTGTGTCTTCTTTTGCATCCCTTCTAGTACTTTCTATGACTGCATTACTCCAGCACTCATGATTAATTTTTATCTTCTATTTTTCTTCCACGTAGTTTGTTTTAATAGTTTTCTTTGGTTTGATACTTTTTAAATGTTTCTAGTCATTTGACTCCCCCCACCACCCCACCCCCAAAAAAGTATTTGGGTTTTTTGATTTATATCTGGCAGCTATAATGTGGTAGGAATGTTTTGGAAATAACTTGAACAGAACCACTGAGTTTTCAAAAAATCATCCTGGGGGGCCATTTCAATGTTTCAGTTGAGCAGGGATTTTTGTCAGAAAATGTGTTTTGACAGCAGCAGTGCAAGGATCTGAAAGCACAGTATCAGTCAGTCAGGCTGTCCAATCAGAAGTCAGCTGGCTGAAGTTTATCTCTGTCTCTCAGGACCCATCCCTACCATCTTTGTGATCATATGAGATGACGTGGAATCATACAAAGGCTTAGGAAGAAATGTTATGTAAATCAGGATGTTTTTACTTACTTGAAGTGACTTCATCTAGATTTCTTTTCATGTTTAGTAAGTTTAAAGCTGTGATCAACTAGAGTCAGCTATTAACGTAAACTGGTTTATGGAAGGCTGCTTCACTGTACAGGAAGGATTAAATGAAGCACGTGATAGAAGACAGTGGTTACATACCTTCTCAGCTGTCACTGAGGCTTTATTTCCTTTGTAATCCTGAAAACTGTTGGTATAGTATTCCCCACTGACGTAGTACAAAAAAGTTCTGTATTATTTAATTTGGATTATATTTACAATTCTTTGTATATGTTTGGTGCAACTTGGGCTTTTAAAAAGGATCCAGGTTGTAGTTATTGGTAACTTTTATCAATTCATTATCAACACACTTTTTGGTCTTTCTCTTCAAGTCATAGAACGTTTTTAATGGAAACTTTTCATTGATTTTATTTTAGTACCTAAAAGCTAGCCTTAAAAATGCTACAGAAGCAAAGTATTTGGAAATTAGATTTGACTAGCTGAGTAATTAAAAGTTGGGCTCATCGCTTCTCAGCCTTTTGGCTAAGATCAAGTGTAAAAGTTGGGCTCAAACTTTACCTTACACTTTTTCATCATGAATAAAGATTGAAGAATAATTCAAATAATTTAAATTACATTTCTTTCCAATTTTAAATGAAACTGTCCTCACCCCCAACATCAATATATTATTAGTATGCCTAAATCCATCAAGTTTCATTTTAAACTGACTTTATTGTCAAAAGAAATGGTGCCTAAATTTGATTTCTGATGAGGAAAAGTATGTTTTAGTAAACCTATATATGAATTATGGGAACTTTGTTCAACAGTTGTACAGAGCACAACTAGAACTTTTGGGTGGCTTACATTCATCTTGAATACTTAAAATGTTGACTTTGTTGACTACATTGTCACTCTGTGTCCTATGGAACTGGTTTGCTTCATGCTAGATCAGTGGCCAGGAGAGGCATTAATCTTTGAGGGGTTGAACATATCATGAAGCTGAGTCAGTATGGGAGACTTTCAAACAAACAGGGTGCTGCAGTTCCATCTGACCTCTGCTGACTGATAGGTTCTCACTAGGGAGTGAATGTCACATAAGCCTTTGTATGTGTCCTTGGGGCAGACAGAGTTCAAGAGGGACCACGTAACATTTGAATGGAAGGAATTATATTTCAGGTGTTTTAGCTTGAAATTTATTTTTTAAAAAAAGAAAAATAAAAAAAAATAGAACAAAGCCTACGAAGTAAGTTAGTATTATAAACAGGCAGAGTTGTTTAGCACAGAGAGAAAATATGGACCTGTCTGCCCTTTTGGTCCTATGGATGCAGGTCCCAGCTGGGCAGAAGATGATACATTTTAAATTATTTTCACCAGCAAGTAAAAGGAAAATGAACAATCTACAGGAAATGTCTTTGAAAAGGGTCAAACAGCAGAAAATTTAAACAACCTACGTTAATACTTGCTTATAAAAGGCTAACATTTTTAAGCTTCTGTCTGAAGAGCCTCTCGATGTGAGTAAATCTGGTAGTTTACAAATTGGTAGGGAAGGAAGAAAATCCCTGCAGATAATGATCTTATGTTAGTTGGCCACATAAGATGTTCTATCATTATGTTTGGGAGGTTTTATTTTCTTGTGTTTTTAAAATTGAATTGGTAAATGCTTTATGGACGTATTTTTATCCAGGTGCCACTCGAGTGTATATGTACTAGAATTATTTATATTAAAAGGAAAAAATAACTTGTCAACATGTTTCTGTGGGTATGGATTTATAGGGGTGGCAAAGAGTGCTGGTTAGCAGTTCCCACGAAAAGTTGTCCTTGCCTGGTGTGTACTTGTCAGCTATAATCTCTGCCTTCCCCATTCCCCAGCAAACGTAATTATTTTTAACCCAGATATATCATTTGGAACTTCTACATTAAAAAATATTTGGCTTTTTGAGTTTCCCTTGCAGATTGGGGTAACGATATCTCCCCCAAAGCTATCAGCACAAAACAGGGTATCAGTTTTTAACTCTGATATTTCTATTGGAGTTAAATACTAAATAAGTAACTGTAATGAAGGAAATACATTTCTAATAATGTCCCCTACAAAAACATCCCTGTTTTAATTTTTTACCTAAATCTTTGTTTTATGTGTAAAAAAAAAAAATGTAGAGTCACAATGCATTTATTAACACTATGTACATATTAGCTGCTTTGTGTTCAGAATGGTAGCAATTGCTTTGTATATTAAAGTGATCCTTGTGAATTTGTGAAATATTGTCATAAAGTGCTTTTTCTTACTGTAATCTTTGTGGTATCAACTGTCATAATGCCCTTTTTACAGACATTTATGTGCAGTCACATAAACATGCTTTTAAAAACTGTAAGTCTCTTTTTTGGGGGGATGGTACCTCTTGTTTCCCACTTCTGTTGTGATAGTTTCTTGGACTTGGGTTTATTAATTTTGTTAAATGAACATAATTATGTTAGACTGTATGCCAAGATTGCATAGCAGTGGAAAACTAATTCAGGCAGCAAGAACTTATTTTCAATTTTTGCTTCATTTTCTTGCAATCTGGCTTTTAGCACAAGGCTGCTTTTTGTAGTAACCCTGAACAGTGCCTACTGGAAGATCTGAGATGCTGTTGTCCCATTGACATAACTAATGGGGACATTAATGACTGTGTCCAGTGTCATAAAATGTATATTTGCACTAAAGAACAGGTAGCTTTACAGGTCTCTTTAGAATTATAAAATTCGGTTTTATGTAAAATAGAAGAGACTGTGTAGTTTGAATCCTTGCTTAAGATACACAAAAGATTCCTATAATCTAAAGAACATTCTGGAACTTCTGCAAATAAGCAGTTACATATATTAAGTATCATATGCTTTTTCCACAAATTATCAAGATAAGTCCATTAGGCCTAGTATAGTTGCCACTATAGTGAAACTGTTACTTGAATTTCATTTTCCCCTTCTTCAGAGTGATCACTTTCGAGTGAAAAGGTGATGCTAACTTCATGGGGACAATCCTGGGGGATAAACCAGGATTTGCTGAGCAGGTTGGAACCTGTGATTGTCCTACTTATAAGCCAAGTTCAGGTGCCTGGGCCGCCAGAGAAGTCAGGGTGCCCATCTTTTCCTGTCTTTGCTGTCACCTAAAAAATTCACGGGTACACTTTGGCAACAAAATGATGAAGAAAATTCCCTTTAGGTCTAATAACATCCAGTTCTCATGCCTTTACCCAGTGATAGCCCTTCTGCTTCTCTGAACTGGAGATGCGTGTTTGTCATCTCCAGATTGCTAAACAGGTCCCCGCTGGACTTGTACTACTCTTGTTGATCTGTTTCTGTGGCTGCCGTCTCCACCTTGTGAGCGGTGTTGCTGTTGCTGAGCACTGAATCACCAGGCCCAGAAGAGCACCACCCAGTGAGGTCTGTCCTTGCTGTACCTTGCAATCTCTCCACATGCAGACTGAACGTGCTGCACTGCTGACAAGAGGGCCCAACAGCCCTCATCAGAAAGGTATTTTCCAGGAGTTTGAATGCTAGTTCTTGCCTGTTTCTAGTTGAGGTGCATTTCATATAACAACTTTAAACATGAGCAATTCAGTACATTTAATGAATTCCAAGTGTTGTGCAACAACCACCTTTATCCAGGGCCCAACACTGATTACGAAATAAAACCGTGTACCCTTTGGTTACTCCCCATTTCTGCCTGCCCCTCACAACCACATTTGCTTTTTGCGTTTACTAATTCAAATAAATGGAGTCATGTAACATGTGTGCCTTTGTGCCTGACTTCTTTCGTGTAACGTGTCTTCTGAGGTTCATCCATGTTGTCACGTGCCAGTACTGCGTTCCTCTACAGCGTCAAATAACTTTCCGTTGTATGCATGCTATTGTTTACACATTTGTCTGTGGGACGTTTAGTGTGTTTTTGTTTGGTGATTGTGAATAGTACTACTGGGAACATGTGGACATACATATTTGAGTCCTCGGTTTCAGTTCTGAGGTCTATAACAGTGGAATTGCTGTGCCACGTGGTGATTCTGTTTAACTCTGAGGGACTATCTGGCTCCTTCAGCTGCAGCACAAGGCTTGTTTACTTACATCTCCCCCAACACTCGTGTTGCAGCTTTTTAAATTATAGTTACCTTCCCAGGTGTGAAGGGAACTCACTGCAATTTTTATTTGCAATTCCCTAATAACTAGCGATATTGAGCATATGTTATCCTTGGCCATTTGTGTATCTTTGGAGAAATGTCTGTTCAAGTCTTGTGTTCATTTTGTAATTGAGTTGTTTGCTTGTTGAATTACAAGGACTCCTTACTTTGTACTTGCAATCCTTATATTTTATCCCATTCTGCAAGTTTTTACTTTCTTGATAATCATCTTCACTGTTTTACAATTTGGATTTGTTTTTAAAATAACACTGGTAAAACGAAACAGTGTAACATCAGGCAAACAGTAAAAGGTAATTTCTTATACATGTTTTTAGTGACAATCTCAATTGTACCCACAAGTGTGCATTCTCTTGTTTTGCACAAAGGATGAATTACAAACTTTCCCTTGGGTTGTTTTAAACTTGACAGTTACACATGGATACACCGAGTTAATATTTGTACAAGCTTGTGTATCTTCAGGACAGAGTCTTACAAATTATTTCTGAAGTACATACAGTTTTCTTCAGATCTGGAGATTGTTTCCTAGGCATTAAGAACCAGACACATTGTTTTTATGGACCTATGCTGGTTTTAATGTCACACTTCATCTGTTTTTAGAAAAATTTGAAGTTACAGACAAGTTTTACACAAGGTTAAGTAGGTAGGCGTCCCTTTTTGTTTCTGTTAATACAATTTTCCCTGTAACCGTCCTCGACTGTTCAGTGGTTTAATTTTTCAACAGTCCATCTTTTCTGGTGTTGTTTTTAACCCATGGTGGTAGAAAAGTATTTCTTGCCTTTAGAGCAAAAAGACTTAGACATGTCAAGCTTTAAAGCAAAATGGCTGAGGACCACCTTGACTTCATGATGCTCACAGAACACGCAGCACCCTGTGAGACCTCGCTCGTGTGTGAAAACTCATGGAGTTGCTACTTCCTCTAGAGCAGGGTTATGACTGGTTTCTCCAACACTAAAGTTAATCACATCTGTTTCACCAATGCTTAAGTTAGGCCCCATGGCTAGCTCCACTTACAATACTGAATGTTACAATGTTTAAGACCTTTATGTTCCATTTTGTTAATTTACTAACTGGTAGCAAATGCTTCCTATCAACTAAAAGTGTGTAGTTGGGAGCTAGTAGGGATGTGGCTCAGTGGTAGAGCACTTCCCTAGTGGAACTTTCAGGAATTAATGTGGTGGTTGCTGAGAATGTTATTTTAATGCCCCTAAGAATCAGTTCCTCCTTACTAAAAGATCCTAGTCTTTCAGAGCATAAGTTGTATTTGCTGAGATAAACATTCCATTTTAGGGCTGTATTCTACCTTAAAAAAAAATCTCATGTTCAGCTAGAGGATTTGGCGGTTCAGAATTCAATCCTTTAGTCTTAAATGTTCTGTGTTAGCAACTACCTGAAAATGTTTCTGTCATGAACTAAAGCAAGTGATCTTCAGAGGGAACTGCCTGGAGAAGAAGCACCTTCTTAAAGTTCTAATGTCTGGCAGCATATATACAAGTTAATAAAGTGTCACAACAGTAATACCTGATAATTAGACAAGTTACTGATATGCACTGGATAACTTAGCCACATAAATGTTAAAGAAATGGAACATGAAAGTCAGGGCTTGGTCTAGATTTCTGTATTTAAGGACAAAAGCAGCACACTGAAGCCAGGCACGAGTCTGGAATCTCAGCACTTGGAAGACAAGAGCCAGGAGGATCATTAAGAACTTCATATACAAAATACACATACAAAATACTCATTAAAAGGTTCAAAGGGATAAGGTCTTATTTTTAATTGTTTGTAAACCTCTCTCTAATACAAAGTCTATGGAAGGTGATGATAAGACATGTGGCAGTCAGCCAGCCAGTCAGTATTCTCTACATGGAACGTCTCTTGCCCCTGTCATACGCTCGATGTGGCCAAAGCAGCAATGCTTTAAAAAGCAGAAACCTTCCTGGCCTGTAGCAGTTTGCGGCCTTCCAGGCCACATGGGCACGCAAGGATGGTGCCCGGGTGGGTGCGAAGTTCTCCAAAAGGGCTAGATGGGCCGGAAAAAGCCTACTGCAGTGGGGTAACCTATGGCATCGTGCCACAGTGGGCACACGGAGCTCCCTGGGCCCCGGTGGCCAAGCGTCTGGTTTCACTGCAGTGCTGGCACTTTGTGATAAATAAGTGGATTCTGGGTTGCAGTTTGGGCACTCGGTCTCTACAAGATTCACCATCTCTGGCCTAGGAAACAGATGTACAAAAATGTGACAAATGGCAAGGCATAAGGGAAGAAAAAACAGCTTCTGATTTGAAGAAGGTAACCAAGGCTTTTGATGCTTTCAAAAAATAGTTCAAATTTTTACTTATTCCTGTTACGTAACAACTCCTGAAATTAAGCCAAAAAACAGGACACAAACCCCATAAAACTCCCATCCTAATCTCAATCAAAAAATCTTTTAAGATCTAAACAGGCCAAAATCTCAAGAACACTAAAAGCTGAGATTATGTGTTAAACCTTTTATATTCAGAAACTAGAAAACTGAGATAATTATTACATATCTCAGAATGTTCTTGAAATAAGCTACATGACTTCAGATCACCAAAACAGGCTCAGTAGGTTAGAGACACCCTTACACAGCCCATCCTCAGATCACTGAACACTTCAGCAAGGCGGAGCAGCACGGGATGTAACAGGACCAGAATCTCACACCTGAATGTGAACTCAACTTCAGAGCAGTAAAATACTACACCTGAGAATCACAATGGAACGGAGCCCTGCTCTGCACGTGGGCTTTGTCCTCTGAGACTTACTTAGGCAGACTAAGCTACCTAATCAAACGCATTAGATTCCCTGTCTATGACCTTAACTGCCCTTCTTGGGCCGGTAGGCTCATACCCAACTATAAGTCCTCCCTCTGGCTTCTTTTCTGGGCTTTGTAAATATGGACATCCTTTTCAGGATCATAGTGAACCTTACTCACAGTGAACTGCCTCTCCATCATTGCTAAGAAGTTGTTATCCCGTTCATAGCGAATCCGGCAAGCTAAAAGGATCACAGAGTGGTCCCCACAGAGGTAGCCCAGTGTCTGAAGAAGATCTTTGAATGTCTCTTCTAGATATATGATGTCAGCTCCAAGTATCAGATCAAATTCTCCAGGTGAAAAACTCTCCAGATTTTGTCCCCAAGTCAACTCCTTCACCACAGTGTTGGTCTGGATGTGGGGAGGTAAGTTGGCTTGAATGTTTGATTGAAGAAATTCTAATGCCACTTTTCGATCCGTGACAGTCACATGAGCACCTGCAGTGTTGGGAAAAGAGAGAGCAACGTGCAGATCAGTACCATGGCTGGTAGTGAGGGGGTCCAATTACACACAGAGTGATCTAAATATCCCACCTGATACACAGACTGTGTCCTGCGCAAACAGTCAAAATGGGTCAGAACAACGGCAGCTCTCTCCTCGCTTTCTGGTGACAGTAAACCTTCGATTTGCCTCCATAATATGCCCGCTAGGTCCTGAATCTGGGCTGATAAACTGCAGTGCCTCCGAGTGACACAGCAAGCGATTCTGAACTCTGCAAGCAGAGCTGCCCACCATCTAATGCTGTGCCTCACTCTTTAAACCACGACCAAGTCAGCAAACCTCAGGGCACAGCTGAATCCGAGAATAAAAAATCTGACAACGGAGTACTTTTATGGGAAAGGTGATTTTGTGGGGTTGATGTATTTTTAAGGCAGCAGAAAGGAGAAACCAGCTACTGCGGAATCCGAGTCCACCTCTCCTCATTCTGCTGGGAAGCAGCTAACCTCTTTGTGTTTAAGTTAAAAACTGTTAAACCCTTATGCATTACTGCAAGCTGGACACAACAGTGCACGCCTATAATTCTAGCTGGGAGGCTGAGGCAGGGAGGACTGCAAGCTTGAGACAAGCCTGAGCAATCCTGTCTCAAACTAAAAAGGGCTGTGGAAAGCTCAATGAAAAGCCCTTGGACAGCATGCCTGAGAGTTCTCAGCTCAATCCCCATACTGCCAAAATAAAAAAAGAGTATTTCACGTCTAAGGAATGCAAGTTAAAATGCTAGTTTCTGTTTTTTGCAAACTGTTTCTAGGTGCAACGCAGAAAACTAATGATGTAGGCTTTTATTGATCTGTTTCTTGTGGGCTGCTGAGTATGAACTAAAAGACTGTTTTAACCCATGTGAGTGTGAGAAGACAACTACATATTTAAGGAACCACGTGAAGTCAGCCCAATAACCTCATCTACAAAAGCGTGATTGCGTTCATTTTGGCCCCACTTATGTTGCATTCTTCATGAGAATATTTCTCATTTGTATCCTTTTGCAGCAAGCAGTCTTCCATGGAGTCTCAGGCCAGCTATGGTCTGCCCTGTCCTGCAGACAGCCTATACCTGGTGTCTCCTGGCATGAAACACTATGGTGGTATGTGATTCAGCTGGACATTTAGTCATAGAGTGTGATGCAGATGAAAGTGCCCAAGCTGCTAAATTTACAAGCCGGGACTTTATGAGCCATTGTGAGCATTTGCTGCTGGACAGTATGCCTCTTCCCGGTTTGACATCAGTCTCCCGCCCTTGCTCCTTCCTACCTTCCCTTTCCTTTCCCCTCATCCCCCTTCCCTTCTTCCGAGGATGAGGTCTCACTGTATTACCCAAGACAGCCTCAAACTCCTGGAATCAAGTGATCCTCCTACCTCAGCCTCCAGAGTAGCTGGGACTACAATGTCTGCTACCATGCGTGGCCACCTCTGGATTTCTTACTGTCCATGGAGCACTCTTTGGGCAACACAGGAATGATCTATTCTTTAAGACATCCATCCACTATTTATTTTAATAGCTTCTCCAATGCCTATCTCGGGGACTTTGGAGGTGGCTACTTCTAAGCCAAATATTCTGCAAGTTTGAACAGATCCTAGTGTCTGCTGGCCAATTCTCTATAATAAGTATCTAACTGACTACCACCAGGGACAAATACTCCTAATGCTCACAGCGCTTACCTTCCAGCAAGGGCACAAGTAATACCCATGTTTAATTTAAAAAAGTAGAATACCCAGTTTGTTAGTTGGTGACACAACTAAGGAAAAAAATAAAAAAGAGAGGCCTGAAATCTGAGGAAGCAGGACAGGTATGAACGTGCAGGTTAGGTGTCCAGGGAAGGCATCACTGAGCTGGTGCCAGACAGGGAGGGAGAGAGGGGACAGTCAGAGGCAAATCAGGGAAGAGCATTCCAGGCAGGCGCGGGGAGGCCAGTGGGGCTGGAACAGCGCGATGAGGACTAGAGTCACAGCAGATGACGCTGGAGGAGTCACAGACCGCACGGCTTGTCATCAACAGCTTCATCAGTCAGGTTTCAGAGAGGCTCTGGCTTTTCCTGGTGGGAGGGGAAGCCACTGGAAGTGCTAAGCATCAGTTTGAAGGGTCTGCCTCGGATTCTGAACAGCACCTCTGGTGGGAGCCAGGCCAAAGGAAGGAGGCTGGGGGAGCCCCACAGTAGTCCAGGTGAAGGGTGCTAGTGGCCTCATCTTGCTGCGACTGACGGCCTGCCAGTGTCTACTCTCCTGCCTTTCAGGGATCTCTGCCTTAACTGTGGGTTTGGGCTTTACCATCTAGATTTCCACCCCTGCCCATTACACGTATGCCCTGGTGGTGTTTTGCATGATTGGGTGGGAGATACAGATACAGGCTGCCTGTCCACAAGTCTGGTAGGCTCTATTTCTGAGACACCAGCAGCCTTGAAGCCTCAGTACTCAATCCTTATAGGCTTTATATTCTTTTTGTGCTTGCTGAGAAGCAGTTACTCATTCTGTAACTCATCAGGGAAGACAGGATTGCTTTTCCTTCTCCATCCCCTTTCACAAGCCAGATCGCAAAATAAAGACCTGATTTCTCAGCATCCTCCGAAGATAACTAACTAGGTGGGCTCTGTTGCTGTGAACACACAGATGAAACATACCTGACGTATTATAACCACTGAGATTTATCATTCCTGGTGGTTAAATTTCCCATCTTTTGCCAGTGGACCCTGACACAACCCTGGTCATCTCTGACAGCTTCCCCGCTGTCTCTAGGACGATATCCCAGGGTCCCTTACTCACTTCCTGCCACAGATGGACAGCCAGCCTCTTTAGAAGTTTACACTCCTTTGCTAAGAGGGGAGAAGTGATAGAAGCTTACATGCTGAGGAGGATGACTGACTAGAAAGGGAGAGCAGTGACAATGCGGGAGCAGGATCCCTGAACAGGTGGCAGCACATGGGATGCTCACTCCGAGGGGACAGTCGGGCACAAGCGAGCGGAGCAGGCCGGGGCCAGCCCCGGGTGTGGGGAGGCCGTGGTGGGAGGCTGTGCTTACGCTTCCCAACTGAAATGAGGAATGCTGGGAGCCGAGAATGAACAATCAGAGAGTGCAGTCTGAAAGCTCATGAAAACCGGCAGAGTAAAGCGGAGCTGGAGTGTGACAGCCAGCAGCATCCACATCTCTTGAAAGCTGGGCAGAGGGGCGACCACCTCTAATCCCGGCACTCTGAGAGACTGAGGCAAAAGCACTGTGGGTTCTCGCCCAGTGTGGGCTACTGAGCGACTTGGTGAGACTCTGGCTCAAAAGAAAAGGATAAAAGCCTGGGAATGTAGCTCCTCCACCACCAGCACCAGAAAAGTCGCTGGGTCATGCACATCAGGTGAGGGCCAGCAGCACAGCTCCCTCCAGCCACACCCGGCTGCAGCAGCCCAGGCCCGAGCCCGAGAAGGCTGCATTTCTCCCGGATTTTTCTGAGCCAAGTATGATAATGCACTGGCACGCACAGTGTTGACAAATTGTGAAAATGGCAATAAAGTGAACACGCAGGGGGTTCAAGCTCGGTAAGGAGGAAAGCGAGACAATACTGAGTTCCTAACAGATGAGTGGGAACAGACCCAGCAAGAAACAGCATGCCGCGCTCCCTGAGAAGTGGGAACAGGACACGGAAGAACGTGCCACCACTTTTAGTTTATTAGCAGCACTTTAATGTCTTCAAACACTCATGCATGTGAGACAGACAGGCCTTCCTCAGAGCTCTGAAGCTCACAGGGACACAGTCACGGAAACATAGCTGATGCGGTGTAGGGAGCAGAACAACAGGAACATGCGTGTGCGCAGGAAGTCATGCAGTCACAAAGGAGAAATTTCTCAAGAGCGGCAGAGGTCACCGGAAGGAAAAGCTGAGCTTACGCTGAGCTATGGCATGGCCCAGGGAAAGGGGAGAAGAGGGTTACTCAGGGCAAAAGGGAGAGGCCAGAGCGCGGTGTGTGCCTCGGGACCTCCCCAAAGAGGTGCAGAGTCAGGCGAGATGAGATTACAGAATCCTACTAAGAAGCTGGCGATGGGAAGGCACCCAAACATTCAAACACAGGTCACCCCATGAATTCTGCTTTTAGATGAGATACAGCGACAGGTGCTAAGGAAAGTGGATATGAGATCAAGGTGGGAAGAAGCAACTGTCAGCCAGGAGACGGAGGATGAGGGCCCAAGTCAGGGAGGGAGGGGAAGCAACCACTGCAGAATGCAGGCTTCAGGGACTGCAGAGCTTGACGAGCTGGGGGAGCCAAGGAGCTGGCCTGTGACTCCTGGGACAGTGAGGCCAACGCAGCAGTGGAGGAGGAACCAGCTTTCACATCGACTGACACAGCCAGGCAGAAATATCTGGCTTTCAGTTAAATGTAAAGTCAAAAATTCAGTAGGGATTTGCAGAGATTTAGAGAAAAGTTAAGTCAGTTCCTTTCAGAACATTGTATTTTAAGACAGCCATCCCTAGGCCTAGTCAGGCATCAGATCACATGGGAAGCTTTTAAAACCCAAATTCCCTAAAGAATCCTGTCTTCAAGACAGGTCATTTTTCTTCTACAAATAGCTTCCAACTTGAGTAAAGCCTGTAGAGATCTTCCAACTAACAACCAAAGTTTGAGAGTCAGACTGCATTCACATTCTAACTGAAATCCATTAGCTTGTGACCGACCTCTCTGTTGACCCCTCTCTGGCACCTGAAAAGAACTTGAAGGCCAGGTCTGCTCGCATGCCGTGGGGGTGTGAGAATCGTCACCACACACTCCCCCAGAATACAGCGGCTCTGCTCTGGAATCGGCGGCTGTCAGTCTCTTTTAACCAGAAAGTCTTCTCACCCTGTGCTGCAGAGCACTAACCACTTTGGGGGTGCTTTTAAAATGTAATTTGTCTTTATTCTCCCCTTCCCAACAGACTTTGAAGATCCCATTTCCAAGACACTAACCTACTTTTCACTGCTCTAACCGCAATAATCCACCAGGCACAGGTAAGTACAGGGCGGGGAAAAAAAAAAAAAAACTTTTGAAAGGAAAACAGTCAATCACTGTCTTATGTTTTCAAATCTCTTTATGTATTTTAGTTGTTTTTAAAGACATTTTTTCACTGTTCCAGTCTAATACTTTGTAGCAATTAAGTTTGAAATCGTACAATGTTTACAATGTCTTAAACATTTTTATATGTGCATATGCACATATATAACACATGCCGACATATATATAAAACTATAATTAGATTTATAATTTTAAAATACAAATGGAGAAAGACTGGAAATGCACTAAATGCTAATGATAATTACACTGCAGAGATATGTGTAATTATTTTTGTAATAATTACACCGGTTTAATAACAGAAACATTAACTTTCACAACTTTCAAAAAGTCACCAGTCCAGTTTGTTCATCTCTTATTTGAGAACTATCCAAACATCCCGAGTGGCAGGTGCTTCCCAGGGCCAGGGACAGAGTGTGATGCGGCCCCATTCCTCAGGCCCCCACCTAGCAGGACAGACAGATGTGCAAGGAATGAACTGGATGACAGCAGCAGTGAACTCCTTGGGTGCTAAGAACAGAGCCAAGCAGTGAAGGGCATGTCTCCCAATCACCGAACAATGCCTTGGGCCGCTGCTCTGCCTCCCTGGCTGAGTCTTTCCTGGGAACAACTAACGCTTGGCTCTTGGCTCCTTGACACTATTTGGAATACTGTATCCGGACTTTCCCACCTCCACATATACAAATTTCTAACAGACTTTAGTAAATATTGTTATTATCTCCTTTTCAGGGTGTTGAAATCACCTTTGGAAGTTAAACAGCTTACCCGAGACCATGCAAACAGTAATAGTAAAAGAAATGTGAGAACCTCCCTAGAACTAAACCTATGTATGCGTTTCACCACACCCACAAGCTTCTACACCTGCCCATCAAGCTCTGTGTGAAGTCCGCTTCTCAGAAAAGCAGAGGGAAACCCCATCCCCTACCAATAACACTTTCCATAACGCAGGGAGGCAAGCTGATACAGACTTAAGCACTTTAATCTGAAAAACTATAGACACGAGATTATTCTCCTTGAAATCAAAGTCGCTTTAAGGGCCTGTCATTGGTGTCACATGGGAAAGGAGGGCAAGGCTATCTGCTGTGAAAGTGGAAATCAGAGGGTAACAGTGAAAGAGCACAAATTTGCATGTTGGCCCACAGCTCCTAAGTGCAGGAAAGAAAGTAAAGCAGGATGAGGGAAACGAGCAGTTTTGAGCCAGGAAAAGAACCAACGCACTTCCCAGGTAGTTCTGCTCACACTCACCCAGCAGGGCGGCCACGATGCCCACCAGCCCTGTGCCGGCCCCCAGCTCCACAGCAGTGCAGCCCCTGAGCTCCACAGCGCCCATCTCCAGGTACGTGGATAGAACGACGGCCTGAGTCAAAACACGGTGTGATTAGGACGCAGCCAGTAAAGTTCCAGAAGTTACAGAGTTTTTAGACGATGCACACTCGCCCGGCTGTGTGATGCCTGTCCGCTTTTACCAACGGGCATGGGAGCTCCCACTGCAGCACGGCCAGCAGGGCAGACCGAAAGCCCCACCCAATAGCAATGTGTGCCTCAGGAGGATCTACAAGGCCTGGGCCCTGGTCTGTTTACACAAACGTCCAGGAAAACTGACCAGAACCAGAACCACCCAGACTGCGTTTAAGGTAACATACAGCTCCAAACCAAGCTCAGACCAACACAGCCACAACCTGTCCAAGTTCGTTGAAGCAGAGCAAGGCCCAGGGGCCTCCCTGAGCCCAAAACATGATGTGTGAGTTAGCATTTGCCCACGGTCTTTTAATGAGAATTATATAATGTTGACATCATTTATTACGTTGTTTTTCACACTATAATCGGCAGTTCTACTTGGTAAGCATTTAAGAAGCATCCCATTCCTTACTATCATTATTTTTATTAATTATGGGAACAGTTTCCATGTAGTTACTTTGGGCTGTTTCCTAGAACTAGTATTACCAAGTTTAATGTATTAGTATTTTAGGTCAGAAGTAATGGCACATGCCTGTAATCTAGCACTCAGGAAGCTGAGGCAGGAGAATTGCTTTTGAGTTTGAGATCAGCCTGGGCTACACAGTAAGTGCAAGCCCAGGCCAAACTGCACGGAGAGACCTGGTCTGGGAAAAAAAAAAAAAAAAAAAAAAATATATATATATATATATATATATATATATATACGTATATATACACAGATACATATATATTATATATACACACGCATATATAATATATATATTATATATACACACACATATATATTATATATTATATATATATATATACATATACACACACACGTTTGTATTCCTCAATGTTTTCTTCCATTCCTAATTGATGTTAAGACTAAAATTGTGTTTCTTCCAATCACTGATTTAAAATGAAGCCAGCCCTCCTCCCCAGACCCTGAGGGTGGCGGGATGGGCTGAGGACACCAGTCACCATCCTCAGACAGGCAGTAGGGCTTGAAGAGGTAGAAAAGCAACCTTAATTTCACAGCCTCGGGACTAGGGATTTAGCTCAGTGGCAAAAGCGCCTGCCTGGCATGTGCAAGGTCATTAGTTCGATCTCCGATACAAAATAATGATTTTACAGCCCTTCTGTTACTATATAAAACTCAAAAACAAAACCATGCCACGCGTTCCGGGCTTTGTCATTCGTGGTGCCTAACTTACTGCCCCGACAGCAACCGAGTCGTTGACCCACCCTCCAAACACATTCTACCTGAATGAACAGTGGCCGGGGAGGGGAAGGGGGCTGGGGTGACCGTCGCATTACTCTGCACATACTTTTTTTCTTTCAACAACCACCGAATCTGTGCCTTTGTTAAACAGGTGAAGTGCACGGTGTGTGTCTGGCATTTGCGGAGGTCCTTATTCTTCTTTTTCCAATAGACGCCCATGCCCAGCCTGATGAAGAGTGGCCGTTTTGCGCGGGGGCGGGGATGACTCTGGAGCTCACTTACCGCGTCCCAAACCACCGCGGCGACCCCCAGCTGCCGCCAGTCCTGGCGGACCCGGATGGTGCGGTTGGCGAAGGAGAAGGTGGCGAGGGGCTTGTGGAACCTGCGCAGCCCCAGGCCCGAGGCCTCGTCGTAGGGCACCAGCGCCATGGCGCGTGCGGTGCCGGCGCGCCCGGCCGGACGCCCTCGCTCCGGGAGCTCCAGACGACGACGGCCGCTGCAGAGCGCCGGGGCGGAGCGAGGAGGGTGCGGGAACCGCGCGGCCGCGCAACCGCCCCGCCGCGCGCCCTGCTGGCCCCGGCCTCGCCAGGCTCCGGGGCGCACGCCGCGAGCGAGGCCCGCTCCGAGCCTCCCGCGGGCCCTGGACCCGAGCTGCGCCCCCGGCCCTGCGCAGGGTTCCGGGCTCAGCGCCGCCTCGCGGGCTCCGGGCGGCTCCGGGCGGGGCTCAGCCAGCGCCGGCCCGCGCTCCGCGTGGCGGGCTTTCTCGCCGCTCCTCGGGGAAGGAGAGACGGAGGTGGGCGCCGCGGCCTTGCAGGGCGGAGTCCCAGGCGCGCCGGGCCCCGGAGCACTTCTGCGGGGCGCCTCCCACTCCCGGAGGTGCCGGGAGCCTGGCCCGCGGCCGGCCGGTCGGGACTGCGCCTGCGCCTGGGCTCTCCCGGCCGGCAGGGGGCGCGCCCGGCCTCCCGACGCCTTCCCTTCCTTGGTCTTTCTTAATCTGCTATGGCTCTGTGCTTGTCAAGTTTCCTTTTTCTTGATTTTTTGTTTTGGCCTTTCTTTTTTTGAGACAAGATTTCATTATGCAGTTCAGGCTGGCCTTTGTAGCCCAGGCTGGCCTGGAACTCCCAACAATCCTCCTGCCTCAGCCTCCTGAGTGCTGAGATTATAGGCATGGGCCACCACGCCTGGCCCTTTTCCTTATCCTTTGTGAAACCTTACAATTAAAAGGGAACTGTGCATTACCCTGATGTTATCAGTACAAGCAACATCTGGTGAAATGTCACCTATTTCATGAATGTGTATAATTAGTAATATTAACTTTAAAAAGTACCCCTTTCTTCCTTTTATCGTCTCTTTGGGGAGTCAGCATTAGGCATAAGAAAAACAATGAGCTTTCGGGTCGGAGGAACCTTGAAAATTTAAATTCTGCCTTTGACACTTTAAACCTTGAGGTGCTGCTAAACTCCTCAGACTCCAGGCACCTTAGGGGTGCCTGAGATAAAGAGGGTCCTTATATGCTCACCTGCTCCCCCATGCTCCCTTTTTGCAATTGAAAAAACAAAACTTGCAATTTAGAGCAGCGTAGACATTAAAATGAACCGGTTTAAACAAAATAAACCAAAACAATCAGTGGTCCCCAAAAACATTGGAAACAAAACTTTAATCCCTGAAACAACCAGGGATATGACAGATTACACATTACTTACATCGGGTGTCCATGGGCCCATCCTAGGCACGCTTTTCAGAAAGGCTGCAAAGGCACCCACCAAGTTCAACCTTGGTGGTGTGGCTTGGCCATCAGAACAGGGCAGACGTGACTCTGCCTCCCGTGAGCAACAGCATGGGCAGAACTACTACAGGAAGCATGAGCCGGAAAGAAACCTTCACAGTACCCACTGAGACCCGGGGCTTTGACCGCATCCAAAGCTGACTGAGCACAGGTGGGACAGCCAGGCGATTTCTCAAGTGAAGAATATTTCAGCATGGACCTTTAGCTGTTCAGAAAAGTAGGAGCGTTGCTTTCCACAGAGATGCCTGGCTCCTTCATCAGTCTCCATGCAGGCTTCCAGTGTCAGCGGCCTGGGATGGTGGTGCAGCTGCTCAGTCAGGCTGGAGACTCTGAAACCTGAACGCATGCCTAACTATGGATCGTCTGGCTGGGGAGATGCAAACCGGAAATGTACACTTTGCATGGTCTGTGAGTGATTCCAAAGTGTGGCTTAATCATCTACAGCAATTCATAAAATTGTGCTTTCTGCCTACAGGAAGGTGGACGGGGCTCCTTTCTCCAGCCCTCTCCTGGGCCCTTCCAGCTAGAAAGGAAGCATGCTTGGGTCTCCTCTGGCTCCAGACTCCCTGCTCACCTTCAGAGTGCTGGATTTTTCCTATCCACTCTGTCTGGGGGGCAGAGCTGAACAGGGCTTAGAGTATCAGGAAGTAGCTGCGGAGGCCTTTGTTGGAGAGGCCTGCAGCCACCAAAAGCGAGACAGCTCAGGACACTGATTACTTTCCACTGAAGGCGCCTGGATTCCAGCGGATGCTGACCAAGGCTTTCTCTGAACTACTCTCATGTCTTTAGACAGGACGATTCATGGATTCTCCTCTTCCTGGGGTGCTCATGGACCAGGCAAGGTCATATCCCAGGAGACATGCTACCTGGGCTCACCATGGGGGAGCACCTATTCTAACAGTGTATCTTGGGATACATTGCATTTTTATGTGAACACAAAATTTCATCACAAAATAAGAGAATAAGAATAATACAGTGTGCATCATTGTCATCAAAGTAGTTACTCAGAGCACAAAACATAAAAGATTCTCTCACAAAACAGTAAAAGATAATGGCATAAAACTTGTCAGTGAACTAAAAGAAACCAGTAGTATAAATGAAACAAATTTGCATACATAGTAAAATGTGAAAGAGTTTTGCCCTAGAATAGGTTACAGGACATTATAGCGGTGGAAGGCTGAATCGGGGATGTCTACGCTGAGGTCACATCCTCCTTCCCCTAGTCAGCTTCCTTTTTCCTTTCCCAGTGTGCCCGAAGAAGTTTCCACCCAGCTCCTCGGTGTCATCAGTGCCGCCCTAAGCACCACCCCTAGTTAACGGTTACATATGTCCCGTACCCCGTGTTCCGAGACAGCCCAGCCGCCAGCACTGTGTGCGCTTTCCCACATCCTCAACTCTATAATCCTGTTCATTTTGTGCTTTTGCTTCTTTATTGCACAAGAATAATCTAACAAAATGGTTTTTGAAATAGTGGACTGGGTAATTTAGGGAATTATTTGAACTTCTCCTTGCTTTGTATTTATCTGTTCATTCTCTGTATCCTTCCCTCCCTCTCTCTGATACTTGAGCTTGTGTATCTGACCTATTTCACTTAACATTGTGTTCTCCAATTGCATTTCTTTACCTGAAAATGCCTCAAGTTTATCTTTTTTTATGGCAGAGTAGTACAACACTTTCTACATCCATTCCTCTGTTAATAGACATATACTGCATGCTTTTCCAGGATATAGCTATTATAAATTGTGCTGCGATAAACATGGATGTGCATGTATCCCTATAATAAAATGACTTTAACTCTTGGGGAATATCAGGGACCTGGTCAAGATTTCCAACTGCATGTATGAGGGGTATGATGAAGGATGAAATAAAAAACAGAGACAAATATAATAATGCATGATGGGAAGCTGCGAGGTAACGCCTGAGAACAGGCAAAGACCCAGATACTCCACACCAGCCACTATTTATTGGGTGTGCGCAGTGCAGTGGCTGTGTACAATGATAAGAAGGATTAGCAGAAGATGGAGAGGTCAGGGTGAAAGATTCCAGGTTGATGACACTGCAGGCAACTAATAATCCTAGATGACTCAAGCGGGTGGAGATGATGGATGCTAAGAAGGACCTTGCTCTGGAGTGTTCTTTTTCATCTCAGTAGTCTTAGTTTAGTGTCAGTGGATGGGAGAGGATGGCCCATCCCAAGAGTTAACGGGAAGTCTCAAAAGTATGACACCATAATCCCAAGCCTCCGCTTATCCCGTAGGAAAGTATGCAAAATTAGCCATTGTGAATTCATGGTCCCCAATAGGGGAGGATAATTAAAATGCAGATAGCTGAGCCAATGGAAATTTCTATTTAGTTTTTTTGAGAAACCTGCACACTGACTTCCATAGCATAGTTTACATTCCTACCAGCAGTGCAGTAGAGTTACTTTCTCCCCACATCCACACACACATATGTTTATCATTAGATTTTTTGATGGTAGCCATTCTTTCTGGGGTAAGATAGCATTTTAGTGTACTATAGTTTTAATTTTGCATTTTCCTAAGAGCCAGAAATGTTGACATTTTTCACGTACTTATTGGCCATTTGTATGTTGTGGAAAAACCAGGACAAATGGAATGGAAGACACACAGGCAGGAGAAGCTGGAAAGTAGCTCTCTATTATGCTAGAAGGCTGGGGGAACTGAGTTCCAAATCACCAGCCTCGCCTTAGTGTTAAAGAGACACATACACATTTTAGGCAAAGGCTGATTGCAGGTTGTTTTATAACTGGTTACATAGGCTGGGTTGTATGTTGTCAGATAGACTTGTTCTGGGCCCAAAGAGGCTTCTTATCATACAACAGGAGGGTCAGGGGTTTGGGTGAGCAAGAAGAATCAATCACTGTCTTTAACTGAGCCAGTCTGTCCTTGAAGCAAGTTAGCACAACAATATCTACTTCCTGGCAAGTTGCAGCTGGCCTGGGGGCTCTCAAGGCTAACAGAATCTAAACGGGCTGCACCTGCCTTTCCTGCTCTTAAATATACTGTCAGGTTATAAGTTTTAAATTTTCCTTTACTGCTTCTGAGAAGTGTCTGTTCATTTTGGTTGCATTTCCTGACTGGGCCTTTTGTTTGGGGAGTCTTAGTTTTTTTTTAAATCCTTTATATAGAGTCTTGATTTTAGTCCTCTGTCTGAGGAATAGCTGACCAAAGCTTTCCCCCTTCTGCAGTGTATCTGTCATTCTGTTGGTTCTTTCTTTTGCTGTGCAGAAGCTTTTTAATTTGATGTGATCCATTTGTTGATTCTTGGTATTATTTCTTGTGCCACTGGGGTTCTGTTTAGAAAGCACTGGCTTATGCCTGTTTTACCTTCTAGCAGATTGTTTCTGTTTTAACATTTAGATTTTTGATTTGAGTTTAGCACGTGGTGAGAGATAGGGGTGTAGACTCAGTCTTGCGTGTGGATAGCTGGTTTTCCCAGCACCATTTATTAAAGATGCTATCTTCCTCCAGTATATGCTTTAAGCCCTATTGTCAAGGGTCAAATAACTGTTCCTGTGGCTGTTTCTCCTTCTTATTTTTGTTCCATTGATCCATAGCCTGTTTCTGTGCCAATGCCACACTGTTTTTATCACAATAATTTTATACTATAATTTCAAGTCTGGAAATGTGATGCCACCTGCTTTATTTGGTTACCCAGGGTTACCTTTGCTATTTGAGATCCCTTGTGGTTCTATGTAAATTTTAGGATTCTTTTCTCTAGATCTGGGGGCAGTGCCATTGGTATTTTGATTGGGATCATATTAAATCTGTGTATTAACTTTGAAAATATAGCCATTTTGATCACATTGGTTTTGCCTATGCAGCAACAAGGGGTATCTTTCTATTTCCTGATGCCTTCCTCAATTTCCTTTTCCTGAGTAATGCAATTTTTGTTGTAGGGATCTTTCACTTCCTCGCCAAGGTTGATACTTAAGTTTTTGATGCTATGGTGAACGGTATTGTTTTCCTGATTTCTTTCTCAGTGAGGTCATTATTGATGTATAGGAATGCTATTGATTTTTGCATATTTCTGTATGCTGCTACACTGCTGAACTGGGATGGGGTAACTTTCTTTACCTGAGAGATTCGATGTGTATAA